CAATGATACAGAAAAAACATTAACCCTTAAATTTTTCAAACAAATTTACTTCCCCACTACGAAATCTGTCAAATATTACACCTCATATTCAGTAATTGCGTAGGTATTTACATAAATAACTGCTGAAGCTAGTTTTCAATCTCTTTAAAATCCGTGTAATCTTACTTCAAATTTAAGCATTGGTATTGCACCTCCAAACAGCTTGCTAAGTCCACTCTTGCTTTTAAAAATGTACTAAGAACTAAAATGGATAAAAAAAACGAAATTACTGATGTTGAGCTTTCAAGTTTTTACAAACAAATTTTACAAATAATTTTAGAAAATACTGCCAATAACTGTTCATATATTTGTTAAGGATATGTGTTAACACATTATAATTGCATTAGAGCCCTCTCATTAAATATGCATCAAAAATTATTTTTATAATTTTTATTCTAACCGCTCATTTATTTGCCAAGTCACGGTTTTTCGAAAAATTGAAATTATAAAAGTATTTTAATCGTGTTTACCTTTATTCAATGTATAAAGTATTAGGATACAGGATCAATGTAGCAAAGTGTAGTTTGCTAAACAAAAAAAACCAGCACTGAGAAGGGGACAAACAATCACACCGTTCTGTCTCATTTCTATGCAATAGGTATGCATAAATCTATCTTTTTCGTGTGCGAATGCGAAAGAAGGCGTCAATTTGTCTATAGGTTTCTCTGTCTACGTTATAAATACTGTAAGTGATGTGATTTAGTATAAGTTCAGTGGCCAAGCGTTAAGAATTAAATTGTCTCTACTGGCAGCACTGATTAGTTAAATGTCATACTCTTATGTCATTTTATATTCTATAGTCTATACCATAGATAAATAAATATGTAGGTCTATACCATAGATAAATAAATATGTAGCAAGCTAGTCTATACCTACCTCTTGTTTTGAGTTTTGACTAATAATTTTATGATTTTATCTTTGGAGTTTGGAGTAGAAGTAGTAAACATTGTAATAAATTCAAAATATTTAGATTAGGCAAATCCGGATTTTTCGCTGTTCATGTTAATGTACCAGTGAAATGAAGCATAATTACTGGCTCAGGTTAATTTAAATTGTAGTCTAGGTAATAGGATTTCATGTGAGAATTTCAATAGTTAAACAGTTCGACGATACTGTTTTCTGGGTTTCTTCTATTACAGACGTTTTATTTTTCTAGTGCATGCACGCAGTGATTAGAACGAGTGCTTGTAGAAAGTGAAAAGTTAATTATTTGCAATTAATTTGGGCCATAATTCTAACTTTCTAGCTGTAATGTAAAACAGCGACGGTAAGTCTCTCAGCTAAGAACAATCTAAACGTATTTTTTTAATAGTTTCATTACAGTTTTTTGACACTTTAGTACGTATATATTGTAATATTGTGGAAGGTGATTAGTTTGTAGTGGTGTCCAAATATAGCTGTTTGTAACAATTCAGACAGGTACATTTTTTATGGAATGATTTAATTAACATATTATTTTAATTTTATTACTTTTAACAATAATCAAGGCTATAGATTACTAATATATACTGGAGAATACAGCCTATGGCCATTTTTTAATCTCTTGTAATAGAATAAAATATTTCAATCTATTTTAATGAAATTTAAATAATTTATGTCCTTTTACAGCAACCATAATTCAACTATAAGCATTTTAGTTATTGGTCTTAACTAAAATTCTTACATGAATGTGTTAAAAGCGTAGCATAAAGTTTCTGCCACTAAGAGCCAAAAATTCCTCCCTTTACATCCCTCATTTTTGTAGCATAATATGTAAAGAGTATATTATCGGAGAAAGTGTTCCATAGTTTATAAATATTATTTGCTTTATAAAAATTAATAAAAGAATATATTTCATTTTAATTTTATTCAAAGTGGAACAGTTAACAGCTACATTATATATATTACATACAGAGTACATTAACTTAATATACGCAATAATGCAGCCCACAGTGCTGTTCACAGATTACGTCTTGGGATAGATAATTAAGACACTAGGAGACCTGCAGCTGTACAGAAGGTATTATATATAAATGTCAAAGTATTGTCAAAAATGATATTGTAATGTGAGGTAACAAAATGATTATTTGAAAAGTGTCTTGTATAAAAGACCACAAAACTTTTCCTTTGAGCATGTAAAAATGTCTATATGCTCGAAGATCTCATTGTACATGACAACCATACATCGAATTGGTGAACGAGTACCGGTTTTGGATCGACAGGTGCTTACGGCTAAGAGCTTACCCACATGCACCTATTGTCTATGTTCAGTTCTGGGAACCACATAACACATTATTTAACTTGATACAGTCAAACTTGCATCTTACTATATGAAGCAATGTCATAGGCTTTAATTGCTTACATCTAGAGTGGAGGGTTAGAAGTATGTATCTACTGAGTAACTGGTTATATGGTAAATAAGATTTATGACATCTATAATGCATTGCACTAGACACCGGCCTTGAATATTTTCATTTTGTGTATATATTTACTATAATAAGGATTCCAAATGGGCACAGCATACTTAAGTTGAGAGTGAACTAGGGTTTTATATAAACAGAGATATGAAGAGGTCCATTTGAAGTTGGGAGTTGATCTCATAATAAATCCATATAATTTGTATGCTTTGTTTACAATTCATTCAATATGTAAGTCTAAGCACAGTTTTGAATCAAACAGTATACCAAGGTCTCGCATAGAATCCACTTTAGTCAAAGGAATGTTACACAGCGAGTATGAAAATTTAATAATATTCTTATTTTTAGTAAAACTGAGATATATTTACACTTCAGAATACTTAACTGAAGCTTACTTTTGTAACAATAGTCTGTCAGTCTGTCTAGGTCCTCTTGGAGAAGAATGTAGTCTTGTGTAATATGGATAGATTTATAAACTTTAAGATCATCTGCATTTTCATGCAACAGAACAGTTACTTATGTCATTAATAAACATTACAAATAACAGAGGACTGAGAATATGTCTTTGAGGTACACTGGAGGTAACCATCGTAACGTTAGAGTGGTATCCATTGATTACAACCCTTTTGAAAACAGTTAGTGATATAAGAAACAAACCATCGTAAAAAATTACTCCTAATGTCATTGTAAGCTATTCGATATAGTAACATTTCATGGTCCACCTTGTTGAAGCCTTTCGAAAGTCTGTATATACTGCATCAACCTGTATGCAATTATGTACATTTTCAAATAAATAGCTGGAGAATAATAATAGATTAGTGGCTGTGATCGACATTTAACAAAACCATGCTTGTGCTGTATAATGCATATGTGTATATACTATGCAGTATGTGATATATTTCGTTATGCACAAGTCTCTCGAAAAGCTTTGACAAAGTGGACAAAATTGATTATCGCAATATTGATCTACACTACATTTAGATCCTCTCTTGTGTACAGGTGTGATGTTAGCATGTTTCCATACTGGGGGCATTTTATGTACTCATTGTATTTTTTTAAGATTATCTTTATTTTCAAACATTCAATGCTACATTGTTTGTGATATTAATCAAAAGCCTACTTATTAACAGCTATATCTAATTTTTTCCTAAAATCCCACCCTCTTCAATCTGCTGTCTTATGCCATGGCCTCACCAGCCCTGCTCTTGCACCGCCTGTCAGTTTGCAAAGTTCTAATATACAGATAATAGATTAATACATTTTGATTACAAGAAGACAGGTTAGAAGCAGTGTTTACCTTAACCTATTCCAATTATTATTTAAGTTCTGCTTTGGAAGATACACTATGTCCTCAGAGTAAATAATATTGCATGGTAAACCATTTTGAATCACATTTTAGTCAGCAGATCAGCTGTTTCATGTGCATATGTCTAAATGATGAAATTTGATTAACAAACTACCTTCCAGATCAGACTAGATTTCTCAGGCATACATTGTCAAATGTTGGAAAAATCTAATCTTTCTATTGAATCAAATCTAGTCTAATTAAATCTCAAAAGGATACTGTTTTGCTTGGATACCGTTAAAAAGTAAACTTTCAGTGTGTCATAATTTTCAGGCACTCATCAAATCATATTTATAAAAAATACAGTTAGTTGTTGCATTATAACATTTATGATCTTGAATAACATGTTGAAATAGCATTTTATATTATTCTTTTTTTATCTTTACAATGTCAGCATAAAATTGAGATAATACAATGTCAATAAAATATTATCTTGAATCTAATAATAAACAGGACTTATTAACAAAAAGTGAAATACAAAAGTTTTCAATTATTGGGAATCAATAATAAAATCAACAAGCAATTAGAGATTTAGAGGAACAAAACTAAATTCAATCAATATACACAATATAGTGTCAATTTCGTACCTAATCTACTTCATATACTACTAGCTGATCCTAATGGCTTCGCTGTGCGCACAATAATATTTTATTTCGAAATCTAAATGTAAAATATAAAGAATTTGTTTTAATGGGACTATCGTAAAATCTGTTCTACATGAGCGTCTACATTGCGAAATGAGTAACTATACTAAGTTTCAAGTCAGTCAGTGGTATTTTGCTTATATATAGATTTTACATTACATGGTGGAGCCATGCTGCAACTAAATTATGGTTATAGCATGGGTCAGCTCGACCGGGGAAGGACCTTGTTCTCACAGAATACCAAACAAAATACTTAGTAGCTCAAAAGCTGCTGTGTTTCTTATGTTCACTTCAGAGTGGTGAGTTAGAGAATTGGAGGCCCTTTAGTACGTGAAATGAGGCAATCCATCTTAGACCTCAGAGTGATGAGATGTGTATGGACCACAACATCCCTCACCAATAGGTGAAGTATGTGCTCATATAATATCTCTATATCTACAAATATTTTACGAAAAAAAAAACAATGATAAAGGAGTCCTAAAGTTAAAGTTATTTTGAATTTGTTAATATTTATAGTTTAATAGTAAACATTGTCTGGCAGCTTGTTAAATATTTAGTTATAGTTTTAGGTAACCAATGGAGAAAGCAGGAAACACTGCGTCCTTGCGCAGCATGGCGCCACATTGGAGCTTGGCTGGGGACAAACAGCTGCTTAATGCTTTACAAGATATTCATCAGGTATTATATTATTATAATTTTTTTATAGGGTAAGGATGACAAATGAGCACACAGTCCACCTGATCATAAGTGGTTGTTACAGCCCATAGACATCTACTCCTATACTCGATTACGAATCAAAACACGTTGTCACACATGAGGACTAAGGTGGAATGCCTCGTTTGCAGTAAAGAGGGTCTCTGATTCTCTACACTAACCATACGAAACACAGCAGCGTAAAGCTGCTATTTCACGCTGGTATTCTGTGAGAGTGTAACCCTTCCCTGATTGAACTGTCCCATTCGTGCTACAACTATAATATAGCTGCAGCGTAGTTCTACCACGTAAAACTGCTGGATCTTCTCCCGTTCTAGGGATTTGCCTTAACCGTCGAGCTTTGCTGGCGGATGCTGCGGACGATCGCAGTACCAGACGTCTCGCACGTAGGAAGCTGCTTCCTGTCGCCGGTCTGAGTATTTTAAGTCACAGGTGAACGAGCGTGTATGTCTCCATCTATTAGAAGCCATAACAGTTTTCTGACATTTCTCATAGCAAGCTAAAATATTACCAGTTCAAGCCTTAGTTTACACGTAATAACTATTTCACAACAAATTTTATTTCTTTAACTTTGTTAAAGTATGGTATTAGGACTCCTATTCTAGCTGTGTGTTGCTACCACCCAGAAACCTATTTCTGCCTCCAAGAAATTTTGAACTCGCTACTGTATTCCAGGTTGAAGGTAAGAAAGCCAGTAAGTATAATTATTGGTTGCGAGTCATTTCCAAGTTCTCTGGAGTAACAAAGCCTGTGTAGCATTCTTTTAGTTAGTTGGAGGGCCATTAGGTGAACAAGGTTGTAACTCTTGTATATGGATAAGAAATATGTACGTACAACGCGGTCACATTAACTTGACGCATGGCTTTGATGACGTTATTTACAGCAGTGTAACAGAGATGCTAACCATACTGACGATTGCCGGGCGAGTAAAGGGAGTGCGGGGGCTAGCGGGCGGGGCCTCGCATTCCAGCGATGCTTCAAGTTAATGTGACCGCAATATATGTAATATTTGTTATTGACAATTTAGCATAAAAAGTTTTCATATTACTTTAGTTGGGCTAGATTATTGTTTGCAAAACTGTAAACTTTTGTTTACAGAGATTAGATAGAAAGATTCATTATCAACCCCACTGTCATACTTCTTTATTCACCTTTGAAGAAGATATTTCTTAAGTATGCATGTAATGTTAAGCATACCTACCATCATCATATTTCTTACAATGTCTCTGTTACAATTCTGCAGATTAAAAATTAATCTCTTATATTGATTGGAACAGTTAGCTGGTAGCTGGTAGCAATATCATATAATAATATGATATTATCTTTACTTTTTGTATTTATAGTGATTCTACAATTAATTTATTTATATTAAATGTTGTTTAATACTTCGAATTGCGTACTATTAGCTTATGGTATGTCCCACACCTGGTCACTGGCCTTTTTTCATTTCTGAAAGTGTTTTGTGGAAGGGGCAAAGGTTCTTTGTATTCGTCACCAAGTACTTCGTAAATCAATACTTAAAATTGTACTTGAAAATTTAGTTGGAGCCGGGAACACTTCTAAGTCAATTTTGGTTACATTTTATTTATTTTTAACTTTAACAAACCTAAAATGTTGTTATTTGCAGAAAATAATAACCCGATGCCAAGAAACTAACACAAGATTGGAAGAAATGATAACCTCACTTGATGGCGCCAACATAGACATGCAAAATGTCAACAACAGGTAATTAAATCAAATTTTCAAACATAAGACTGAAATTTTAATAAGCCAAACTTTATTATCTTAATATACAACATGAGTATGTGGTACGTCTTGCTAGATAACAGGTCTAAACTTGAACTCTCGGCGTAGTAGATAGTTTATTTTATTGTTTTTCGGAAAAGAATGTTACCTTCATTTTTTGGCATATTTTTCTAATTAAAATTGAAGCGACAACAAATTTGTAGCGTACCTGGTAGTAATTGGCTACTGCAGTACATGAACATGTGCAACCAACTTCAATCAAAGAAGGCTCTAAATGCGTTGTCACCCCTGAGGATTAAAATGGAATTCATCGCAGTCTGTAATTATACTGGTTCTCTTTATCCATAATACCGGAACCCAGCAATGCGCTTTAAGAATTTCTTTTACCCCTTTTAGTCCAGAAGCCTCTCCCGTAGATTACTTCAGGAATTTGCTATAGTTGTCACACTTGATATGCGGGTCAGCTTACAGTTTTTTTATAATTTTAAATTGGTATCAAGATGATGCTGCTGCTCATCTCCCGTTTAAGATTCTTTGGTGACGGCGTAACACTCCTGCATGGGCCTCCTCTCATATCTGAGAGCGTTTTAAGGCAAGGAAATGTTCGCCGTGCTACCAATTAGTTGCTATCAGCATGTGAATTATTTTTTTTAGATTTATGGCTCTGAGCACCAGACAATTCGTTGAAAGTCGGGTCTACGACGACGATGTGGATGTGACGACAGAAAACCCACAAAAGGTACTAAAAATCCTATAAAAGTTTTGACTCCATTTTAAGTTGTACTTTGTTTCTATACTGTATTATAAGTGACACTAGAATTATGTACATCTTGCTAATAGAAAGTGGTCTTAATTATTATATCATATTTCTTAAATATTATTTACTTTTTCAATTAAAAAAGAATTACATTTGAGTACACAGTTCACATAATGATAAGCGCATGCTGTGTATTGTCACTCCTGAGGACTAAAATGTATCCATATTACTGTTTAAAACTGTCTCCAGTTCACATCAACAACCACTATACAAAACACACCAGGAAGATACCACTGACTGACTGACTCATCATGTGATCTCTAAAGCTATACAGTGTACACCCGATTGACTTGAAATTTAGTACCTATAGTTACTCATTTCACAATATCGTCTTTATTGTGTTACTCTTACTCACTTGGGACAGATTTTACGATAGTCCCATTAAAAAAATTCTTGATATTTTACATTTAGGTTTCGCAATAAAATATTATCGTGCGCCCAGCGAAGCGAGCGGGTATCAGCTAATCTTAATACATATATATAGCTCGCTTCGCTATATATATAAATTACGTGTCACTTTGTTTGTCTGCGATATGGACCCTTAAACTACTTAACCCATTTTAAACTTTGTACACCGTGTGCAGTTTGGTCCAACTTGAGAGATAGGATAGTTTTTTTTGTCCATGAGTGACCCACAATTTTTTTTTGCGAATTTAAGGACTTAATAGGACATGACAGGGTCGTCGAAAAGGGCAGAACAACGTCTGCCTGGCATGCTAGTAGTATATAAAATAGATTTGGTACAAAAGTGACACTACATGCATATTGGTTGAATTTAAAAAAAATCTAAATCTCTAAATTACTATTTTCTATTGGCGAATTTGCTTTTTACTCATGATGATGGTTCTTAGTATAGGTGATTTTCGTACGTAAATCTTTAATGAATTTTTCGTGAATTTTATATACATAAAATATAAAAAAAATACGTGTGGCACTCGGTGACTGCCGCGGTAAAGCTATTGCATAGCATTTTTTATTAACTTATGCAATTATAATTATTTATTTATTTTATTTATGCAGTCTTTGATATTAAATCAAGTTACACTTTTTGAGCGTGGTGACCGATAAGAAAACAATTTTTTTTCTCTTAGAGAAGTTAATATTGTTTAAAATATTTTTAATATCTTACAATACATGTAGGTTATTCAGGAATTTTTATCATTGAGTTAGCAGCTAGTGTACACGCATACGTCTAGTCGCACGCACACAAACACCGTGCCTAACTCTGCCGAGTGCCGGAGTCTGCCAAACTGAAACGACGTTAGACGATGCACGGCTATCAACGCCACACCTCCGTGCCCGTCGGAGTGGGGAGCGTGAGGTTTTTTTTCGTTACGGAATTTCTGGATTCGGTCCCCGCGCTCAAGGCCCGCGATAGAAGCTATGCAATAGCTTAAAATCTTTTGTTATAGCATGAAAAGTCTACCATTCAACCAGAGCCGGAATCGGATCTTGCAAAATTGAAGCAGAGTCTCAAGATTCTGGAATCTATGCACGAGAGTGTCCGAATTCTCGACAGTGATAGCGGGTCCGATACGGATGATGATGATGGCAGGTATGCTTACTAAAAATAATATTAACTTAGTTCTCACCCCATTTTTAAAAATTTTGAACAAATCACTTCAAATTTGTCAGACCAAAATTATTTTTTTGTACACCAACTGCGGTGATGATTGTTCCGGACAATAATAAATTTATTAAAATATGAAAACCGACTCGAATAAAAAAAAAGTTTTTCCAGTTTCCAGTAATGAAATTTCTATAATTTTCTTTGCAGAATGGTTTACAAACCTAAAGACTTGTATACCCAGAGACCTCTACCTCATATCATTGGATCGTACGCTTGGAAGAATAAATGGCACGCTGGTAAGTTATCCTGCAGAATTTTAACGGCTGGACTGAATTTGATGAAATTTTGTGTGTGATTAAGTTGATTCGAAAATGGCATAAATTCAGAATTGGACCCGGTAGGTGGCGCTATTGTCGAGATTCAGATAACACCCGTGAAAACTGGGGCTAGGGCTAGTACATATACTTATAATTTCGTTTATCTAAAGTTTTTGTACGATATGTACTAAATCTACTAATCTAACTAATCAGTATGATAATTTATTTAAAAAAATCAAAGCACATACGATACTTTTAGTATCAGCGATTCTGCGGCTACATCGCGTTTGAACGATCTAAATGCAGTCGATTGCTGTATTGAAATCAAGAGTTTTGGCGAATGCTTTGAGCTGGATCGCATTTGGACCACTTGCCGAGTTTGATCGTGCTGTCGTACCATATATGACAAAAGTTCCTTAAAATTGTGGTGTATTTCTTATTTGTTTCGTAAACGTTTAAAAAACTTCTTTCCTTCGTCTGTTCTTATTTTATGAGGTAATGAATGATGCTCTCCAAAAGTAAGACGCAAGCTGTTTGAATGTAACCAATAAGTACCTCCATCGGTGATGATGGATACTTTTAATTTAATCTCTATATATAAAAATTAATTGCTATCAGTTAGACTCGACCGATTCTGATGAAATGTTTTGTGTGTGGTGCACAATTGGACTCGGTAGGTAGAGCTGTTATTGAGATCCAGAAATCACCCGGATGAAGCCGGGACGAATCGCTAGTAATATATACAAGGTGTAAGTGTAAACACCGTTGTCACTAAAACCATAGGTAGTTGGCTTTAATATAAAAATATTTATCCGAATTTTTAAAAAAGAAACGCTATTTTCTCTCATAAAATTTAAAAAGTTTCTGTCCGACACCGTCCGTAAATTCATGGATACCCTATGCGCCCGAGTGACGTAATCACTGTAAAGATCACCGCCCGCCCTAGCTACCTACACAACATTCCAATAAAAACAATAGTTACACATGTAACTTTTCCTTCATACTTTCATCCTGACTTAGGACAGGCAAAAATTGAGAAATTAAGGAAAAATTTAGATTTTACTAAAAAAAAAATGTTGTTATTTTTCATTGGCTTTACGTTCTATAAGTGAAACCAAACCACTGGTTTCAAGGATAACGGTGTTTACACTAACACCCTGTATATTTAATAAAAACAGAGCTAGAAGCAACTCAGCTTCATTTGAATCGATAGATTTATAAGATCGAGTGCAAGTGTAGAGCCGTGTCCCGCAGATTCCAGTCTCAGTAAATTGTTACCTACGGCTAACATCCAAAAGTATGCGGAGTGTAATGTTCAGTTCAGTCGCTGCATCGAGGTCCTAAGAAATAACTTGTCTGGCACTACTGGATTGTACTTTATTTTCGGCAAGCGCAAACGTAATATTTTTAAAATTGGTGATGTTCACCTAGTCAGTATTCAAAATTTTTTAAATAATAAGGTTTTGATAGAACTTATGACCCGACTAAGTAATGGTATTCTTTCATTATTTGAACCGGGACAAATACTTATGATTAAAAATAAAAATATTAAAATAAGCGCAAAGTTTGCATTGTAAATATATGAGTAAGTATGTCAAAACAGAATTTCATGTCATCAAGTTTCCGAAAAGTAACTAAATCGCCGATCGCTTATCCTATACTATTAAACGAGCAATTCTTGTATATATATATATATATATATATATATATATATATATATATATATATATATATATATATATATATATATATATATATATATATATATATAATCGGGATCTCGGAAACGGCCCCAACGATTTTCATAAAATTTAGACAGGTTGTTAATGATTATAAATAGCTTAATTGGTATAATGGGCGGTCACAGAATCGTAAAACCCCTGTTCGAGCCCAGACAGACCGACCGAACGACTTTTTTTTTTCAAGTTCCTTTCTTTTTTTGAGAAAATCTATTTTTTCGAGCTCTTTTTTTAGTATTTTTTAAAAACACAAAAATTAAAATAAAATAATTGCACTCATGATTTTTTTATTCAAATAACCAGTTCCGTTTTTTCTGTTATGTCGCTAAGATCAAAAAATATTATTTATATTTCATCAGTATGTAATTTGTATCTAAATATAATTTCCAAAACACACGAATTAAAAAAAATCGAGCGATAAATACCGAGCAAAGCTCGGTCAACCGGGTACTACTACTTATACTAAAAAAAAAATGTGTGCTTTGGCTATAAATTTACTCATCGTTACATCTCGGACAGTTTTAATTTATTAATTATTTTTATTAAGTCTGATTTTGTCTTCAGCACAAACAATACTTAATTACAGATTTAAAAAAAATGTGTCATATTCTTTTTTAGGCATTATTCCGGAGGACAGCGACACCGACAGCTCTATATCAAAGCCAGGCGACGACGCCATGTTGGAACAGTACTCTGAATCCGAATCCGAGCAGACTGACACACGGACTGACAAATTGCACCCGCCTCCAAGAACGGTATATTACACCAATATGAAAAATTGCAGTTGCATTTTATACATTTAAATAATAAGAAATGTATAGTATTATAAGTATTAATAGTAGCCATTACAGAGTAGAACACCGGTTAATAATACCGTTTGCAATGTTTATGTGGATATTAGATGATGAAGGAGCAGAAAAGCAAAAATAAAAATAAACTTAATCGAAAACAAACTTATAACTCCTAAGATATCAAAACTCGAAAGGTTATTGTCTTTTTTTTTTGTCAGATCTCGTCAAGTAGTTCTGTAGTGGATTCGGAGCCAAGTGGTCCAGCTGCTCCGGTCAGTCAAGCTGACATTGCGGCAGAGTTGGCGCGCAAATTGGGCGGGAACTTGCCTGAAGTAAGTTGGAGTAGATAGCAGGAACAAAAAACTGCCTTCCCAGTTAGTTATGGAATTTAATTTACTCTAAATAAAGCACTGTTTTACGTGATAATTAAATATGTATATGTTTTTCACACATAATGCACACACATATTCGCATGCATTTACACGTGTATTAGTGCGTATGTGAACTTTTTAAATAGCCCCTAAAATTAGAAACGAATGACATATATCTCTTATAAGATAACTATGTAGTGGCGGTGTAAAATTATCCACTACCCCATATTTATATCCATATCCATATATGGATGACATAAGAGGCGACAAGAGGAAACTGAAACTGGAGATTGGCAGCAGCAACTTCCTGATAAAATTTCAAAATTATAAAAAACTGCGGTTGGCAACCCGCCTGACAACTGCGGCAACTATGACCATATGACTATGACGCGTCCCTGGGCGGTTCTCACCGCCTAGAACATCGAACGACACGAGTTATCCATCAGAGCCGGGACCTGCCACCCCTGTTCGGACGGCCGTTAGATAACTCGTCCACGTGCACTGTACACTGTCATAGGAGTCATCGTTACGCAAAGTAATGATGCGGAATGTTTGCAGTAATGGAGTAGTATGATAGATTATTTAGAATGCTCTCATAAAATACCAGTCTGAAATAGCAGCTCAACTCTGCTGTGTTTCATATGGTTGGTGTAGAGAACCGGATACCCATTTTACTGGAAACGCGGCATTCAATTTTAGTCCTATGCTCGTTTGTCACCCTCCTATGAAAAAAATACCTACCCAGACGTAGGCAACCACTCAGTGTTTTGTTCCAGTTTTAAGGTAAAAAATTGTGTACGATTACAGTCTATGGCGTACATTACACGCTCATGCAGGTGTCAATCAATTCCATCAATCATGATTGATAAAAAACGGATGGTGACTGATGGGCGTACATTACGCGCTCATGCAGGCGTCAATCACTGCATTACACGGTAGGTTATTCGTCAATCACAACCGTGATTGTTGTAAAACTGACAGCCTGCATGAGCGTGTAATGTACGCCTATAAGGTGTTTTATCGTAGTTTTAAAGCATGGCAACACATCTGTATCATTCTTTTGCCCAAATACTCTAATGCTACTTATTTTAATATGCCGTTAAGTCTCGTGCTGTCTCTATCACTTTAAGACGGAGTGACTGTGACAGCATAAGACATAACGACGTCTTAAAATTAATTGAGTAGCGTTTGAGTATTTTGCCTTTTGTCTGAAGTTTATTGTGTGTTACAGAGCCACGTAGCATCATGTTTATGATGTGGTTCGTTTGACGAATTTAAGGTTAAGGCCATTCATGCTGTTGAATATATTTTTTAATTTTATTTAATCTTTTAGATACCTCAGACATCAGCTGAACCAGAATTCACCTCTCCTGAGCCGGCTCAGAAAAAAATTTACAAACCACAAAAACCAGAAACATGTAAGTAATAGCCATGTATTGGCAACATAAAAAAATCATCGCCTCGTATTGTAATCTAATCTTTAAATATATTTATTCACAGCCACAATTTTCTTTGACGAGCCGCCACCTTTAGAACAAACCTATCAATCCGATAAAGAAGAGAACAACTATGATGAAGACGACGATATATTTGCCGAGTTACACAGAAAGAAACCATCCTTCTCTACTGCTAATGATCAAAGTCGTGTAAACGAAGATTTATTTGGTGGTTTAAATCATTCACGAGATGTTGTTGATGATCTATTTGGTATAGATAAGAATAACTTGAGCGTATCTAATAAAAGTGAACAAAATATTGAACAAAGTAGTGAAGCGGAAAAGGTATTTCATGTTTTTAAATAAGCATCATATCATTCATAGATAAATTTTAATTCTTGTAGGTTTTTGATCTGAGTTAAGGCATTATTAATTTATCTTTTTTTTCAGAAACCCATCGGTGGTATATCACTCTTTGGATCTATTAAAGGAACCGAGAGTATCGCTGCAGCAATTTTAAAGCGCAATCAACGTAAGTCGTACAGTTCAGATGAAGAAAGTGGAAACGAAGTATATAATAGTAAACAGAACCTTTCTAAAGACACAAAGGGAACTACCTCCGAATCTAGTGAGAATGCAATAAAAGAAAACAAACTTGCAATCAAAAATAAATCAAACGAAACTGAAATTGAAAGAAAAACAACTTTGAAACCGGAGAAAGACGTCCTACGAGATATTTTTGATAAAAACAAAAAGTCTAAACTCAGTATCGAAAATAATTTAACAAAACAAGATCCAGTTGCAAAAGATAATAATAAAATAGATCTCTTTAGTGATAATATTTTTGATGACGTTGATAACATCTTCATGGATAATGTTGTCAGAGCGCCTATAAAAGAGGCTGATAAAAATGTTAAGTCAATATTTGATGATGATGATGATGACGATTTATTTGCCGACATTGCAATTACACAACATAAAACATCGAACTCTGAAGGCACTCATAACAAAGTTAAAGTTTTATTCGATAGTGACAATGATGATGATTTATTTTCTGATACGCGTAATAAAGCTTTTGTTCAACAAGCAGCCAGTATAAAGTCGGAGAATATTAACCCAGGAAGTAGTGCTATAATGATCAGTAATAAAGAAACGAAAAGTCTATTTGATGACAGTGACGATGATATTTTCTTTAATGTCAAAAGTAGTTCAAGTAACATAAATGAAGTCAATTTAAATGAGAGTAAACAAGAAAAGGAACCTGTTAATAGTGTAGATATTACTAAAGATACAAACTTAAGTAAAGATGATGATAATAACAACTTATTTTCTAGAAACAGTTTCATGGAAAGTAGTGAATTAGGTAATAATACAGAAGGAAATACCATTACTGTAAATATAAAATCCGAACAAATAAATAATAAATGCAGTGGTGAGGGATACATAAATTCTACTTATACTGACAACCATAATGTCTCCTTAACTCCAAACTTAAATTCTACTTGTCAGAATAGAGAATGTGGTCCTGCATTATTTGGCCATGAAGAACCAGATGATTTATGCAATCCACACTTAAATTCTAATATTGAATGTAGTCCTGCACTGTTTGACGATGAAGAAGCAGATGATTTATTCAATAATAAAAGTAAGAAAGAAAACGAATTTGGTAGCACTTATTTGAATTGCGAAAAAGAAAATGAGTCAAGAAATAACACGAACACGATGAACGTAGAAAGTTTGAACAACAAAAATGAAGGTATTCATACCTTACCTAATATTCATATTATTGGTAGTATTAATATAACCAAGTCAGAAAATAAATCTGATATGTCGGAAATCGTAACTTCAGCTCAATCAAAACCAAAGGATGATATTTCTCCCATCACGGTGCAAAAACCTCATAATGATAATCTTGGAGTTAGTAATAAAAATGACACATTTGACGATAATATAAGTAATTCACCTTTGCCTCAATCGCCACTTTTCTACAAACCAGATATTTTTAGTGATATATTTAACGATGTTCCTCCAGATTTCGAAAAACCAAAGGAACCTAAAAAAAGTAAAAATGTTAATGCACTTTTTGATGATGATTCTGATGACGAGGCACTATTTTTTAAAAAAGACGATAATATCTCTGATGAGAAACCTGATCTGAGTTCTCCTGCGAAACACGATAGTTTGTTCAGGATATTTAGTGATGAACCCCCAGCTATTGATGTGAATGTTACTCAAAAAAATAACGATGTTCAAAGCACTGAATATGAAGAGTATAAAAAACTTGATTTAAAGGATTTAGATGATTCATTTATTCACCCTATTCAGAATGAAATAAATGATCATAAAAAGCAGAGAAACTTACAACAGAAAGAAACAGACCTTATCGATGATCTTACCGAAAAAGTTATTAATACTGAAAATATAAAATCTATAGGAAAATTAAAAGGTATGAATTTAAATATCAATGTAAATACGCTACTGCCTGGTGCTTCTCCAAAAAAATATAAGCTTATTGAAGAAAGTTATGAACAAAACATTTCTACAAAAAATATTGATACGAACTCTTTAATGAAAAATACTGAATCAAAACTTGAAAAATCGGTCAGTTTTGAAGACGATGCTAATTCAGAGTTGCTTGATAATAAATTCTCAAAAGAAAGAGCTAAAATACAAGTCAAAAGACGCCCTTCAACAAGAAGAGCTCGACGCGAGGCCGTTAAGAATTCTGAAATCGATTTCGGCAGTAAAAATTCAACAGATAATACAAGTTCTGTAGGTAAACCTGTTGCAACACCGGATGAAAAAGTTGAACGTACAGTAGTATATCATACTGATGAAAAATCAAGTAAAGTAAAAGATGTTAAATCGAAAATTGTATATATCTTAAACGATGAAGACATTTTTTCAAATGTAAATAGTGACGAAAGCGTTTCTCAAATTTCGAAGACGTCTGTGTTAAATAAGTTAGAAAATCAACAGCATTTTAAAAGTAATACTATTTTGAATTTTGATGATGGTGACGATCTTTTTAGAAATGTTAAGGTTCCTAAAGCTGAAAGTTCTGCTGTAGTCAATTCATATGAAAAAGTAGAGATTTCAAATAATATGATAAGTAACTTAAGCAGTGTTACTAATGTAGTGGCTCAACGTAAAGTAGACAAAGAAAACAGTAATGTTTCTATCAAAGCCGAAGCCAATATTGATAAACCTAATAAAACTAAAATGTCTATTTTTGATGATATGAGTGATGAAGAAAGGGAACTTTTCCTTAGTAAAAAGCCAATTGTCTCAAAAACGAAAAACATTTTTGGGTCAGAAAGTGATGAAGAGCTTTTTGCAAGCAAAAAATCAACGGAACAGCTCGAAGATAAGCTAAAACCGACAACTGTTAAAGTGGAAGTGAAAAAATCGCTTTTTGACGACGACAGCGACGATGAACTATTTGGCGGTAAAAAGAGTAGTACAGGTAAATAGAATTTTATTATTGTTTTTTTTTATTGACGAGATAAACACATGTTTTCTTACTATTACACATATACAAAGCGCCGTGTAGTGGTGGCTTTTTAAAAATCTACTACCCCGTATCCTTTCGTATGTGTCGTAAAAGGCGACAGAGGGAAATGAAATAGGAGGTGGGCAGTAGAATCTTCCTGATAATTACTACTACTACACACAATACTACACATTGAATAATACTACTTTTACGGATTTTATCGCGTTAAATTTACTTGATTTTAACTCCCGACGTTTCGGATGCTTTCTATTACCCATGGTCACGGGGGACTGAGGTAATTAAGGTCCCGATGTCAGTTTCAACCCGGAATAATGTCAGCTTTTTAATTATTACTTATGGTCCGATCTACGCAGAATGAACTTATTGTGTCTTGAAGTCTTGCAGTGGTATGCATGGGTTTAGTTTTAATTTTATTAATTACATCAAGCAGCTGGTAGTGCCCGGCCAGAAATTAAGATATTTTTTAATGTCAGTAGCCTCACGTCCTTGGCAGGAAGAGATGTTCTTTCGCGAGGATTGTGGTCTATCAAATCTGATGTAATGACAGGGTCCGTCTAGTACGTTATGTAACCTTGGTGTTTCGCGTTAGCTATATGTTTTTATACGCGGGTTCTAATTGATCTTTTTGTTTGCCCTTTATATGAAAGAACGCATTCACAATCAAGCTTGTACACTCCTGCATCTTCTAGAGGGATATTACACTTGACGGATGATAAGAACTGCCTAATTTTCTTCGGCGGTTTGTAGAATGTTATAATAGAAGCTCGCTTCAAGATGTAGCCAATCTTGTCTGTGACACCTTTGACATGTACTCGTATAGTACAGCAGGCACACGCTCGACCGTGCCCGGCTTCACTCGGTTACTATGACGTAGACGCGGGACCGGGAGTTTGTTGTCGTGCAGAAACTGCTTGACGTGCTGAAGCTCGGCGGCCAGGTGTTTGCTGTTACAGATCCCTCGTGTTCTCTGTGACAAAGATTGCCCACGGTAGCTAAATGTGAAGGATGATGTTGGGATTCACCGTTTATATATAGGTTTGTGTGGGTCTTTTTTCTATACACAGTGTGACCTATGATGTTAAGATTTCGGAACCTTGGAGTTTCAGGTGCATTAAGGATTACTCAGACGTTGCCCTACATTACATGACTATCTTTTTTGGAAAGAAGAGTTTATGTCACCGAGTTTAGGCTCACCTGTATTTTCCATTGTCCCGATATATTCATGGAGGACTTTGAGTAGAAAGCCCTCCTTATAAGCATAAGGATTTTTAAATTATTTTAAAAGATAGAAAACAAATAGGCTAACTACATTATATGCTTAGTTTCAATGTTGCTATATTTACATTTTTAAATACAGAATTTAGTATAATTTAAAGTGCCAAACCTATGGTGTCTATGAAATACAGTTACATTACTGGTAAATTAATTCATCGTAAAAATTGCTTCATTAAAGAATTATCATAAGTTATTTATACCTAGATTCTACGTCTTAACCAACATTTCTTTTGTTCATTGAGTTATAGTAATTTATATTTATTTTTAAAACTATTAATTGTTGTAAGGCTACGTTAAGGGAGGTGGCAGATTGTTCCAAAAATTTGTTGCATTGTATTTAAAACTTCCTCTGAATGCAATAGAGCGACTAAACGGATATACTAATTTTTATTTAACTGATCTGAGATAATGTGTATTATTGTGATCTTTGGCCCCATCAAGCTTATTGTACAGATATAATGGTTCTTTGTTTTTTAAAATTAGTCCAGTCACTTTAGGTTTTCACCTCGGAATTTGAGATAAAAAGCTGGAAACAGCTTCATTTTGGCGTTCTAAAAGTTGTCTCAAAAGTCTCATATTATCTCGTGTTTGCGTCGTTAGTTATTCAAGGTCAAAGGTCACGAAAATCGGTTTTTTTTTAATTATGTTCGTTTCTATGGTTCCAACCACTTCAATACCTATTATAAAAATTAAAGATGAGAGAGAGAAAAATTTGCCACAACTTTTGACTCAACTTTTTTTCTAAGTATACGCTCAACCCTTTTCGAGATAGAGGGCGGAGGGCACCCAGCGCTCAGGCATATATACTGTAATATAAGGTCAACCGTAAATCTCGGTGAATAATACCTTCCAGCGAATCCAGCAAAGTCAAAATAGTACCCTCTCCGTTGGCTTGTGTTGTCAGTATGTCGTCTACGACCTGAATTATGGCAGTTGTAGTGCTGCCCTGTTTTCTGAAACCCGATTGCAGCCTGGGCAGTATATTATTGGTCTCAAGATATTGAGTTAATTTCTTATATGCTATTGTTACGAGCTTGAAAAATTGCCGATAGAATTACCTAAATTAACACTTAAATTCACTTTACACTAATTAAAGTTAAAAACACTAATAATTAATCACACTGATACACTTTATTCCGCTCCGAAGCTTCGCTTGTCTCGCCAATTTCACTACCTCCCCGATCGCACCTTGCAGCGCCTATAAATACACATTAGTACCGAATCATCCAGAACATTGAAGTAAATACGCGCACCAATCGACAAAGCGCCGAAAGTTCGAGAGTCAGCTTCCAGAAGCTTAGTTCTTCGTTTCGACAACAGATGGCGCTGTCGGTTGAAAGATTAGTGATGTCATTTTCTGGAAAGCTCTCCCCTCGCTCCGTTACCCGACACTAGATGGCGCTAGTGCCAGATGTCAACTTAGCCGCGCACGTGCACGCCGTAACACTATTTTCTCTATAATTTTAGATAAGCAACTCGAGGGCCACATCAACTCAAGGGCACTTTTAACTATAGATTTTAGCTCTTTATAATACTTCTTGTAAGATTTCTTCTTCGAGATTTGTCTTACGAGCCCTAACCTGTACTTCATCACGTGTCTTCATCATACACTTTATGTTATATGCTATCCAAGGATAATGTTTCTTTTTATGTAAGCGGTCTTCATTGGTGCATTTATTCAAAAATATTTATTACAGTTTTTTTAAAGATACCGACCATATCATTAACATCATTTAATAACGTGAAGCTATGCCAGTCTATAAGGTTAAGGTCATCTTTGAGAATATTTTTATCGATAGATCTCAATGGTCTGAACGTAACCCATCTAGGCTTTAATCGGTCTTTTATAATGTTAAATTCACACAGAACTGCGGCATGACTACTTAAGTAACTAATATAGTTTACTTTTATGTGAGATACCGGTGCGTCAGTACACACAACATCTATGAGAGTGACTACTTTCGGTAAAATGCGTTGGTACTTTAACATATTGTGTAAAATTACAACAGTTGAGAAAGTAATAGAACATTTTAGTACTTGCGCTATGTCTATTTAAGAGGTCAATATTAAAATCACCAATTAAAACAGTATAATCGTACCCTGCGAAGGACCCTAACGACTCACTCAACGCTTCCAGGAATAATTGTACACTAAGCCACGGGGGGGTGGGGTATTTTAGTATTTTAGTCCAGACACAAATATAAAATTCTATAAAAAGAAAAGGAGCACCTTCTGCAATGCGACACGTGGAACGCCGAAAGTTCAGAGTGATTTCTTCTTTTTTCTAAGAAACATTGCCAGGTTATGGTTTATAATAAAAGAGCATATCTTTGTCTTTACTATATTATTCATTGCATATTGTCTTTGGTTTTGTTTAAAACAAAAACATATTTTTTCATAGGGCAGTATTTGGTATCAAATTTGATACTGTCCTGAGCCAGCCGTAGGTAATTTTATGATATGGGATAAGAGTATGGCCATGAGCTAACGGGCTAGGCTTATCGACGCCGCTTTCGGCTTCGCGACGCATGACTCCTACACGCCACACACTTACAACATCGTGCTCGTCTAGCTCAACACCGATCTTATATAGCAATGTCACGACACGCAGGGAATTTTCGCCCTTGAGTTCCGCTACTCCAGATATTTCAACGTCATTGAGTAATAAATCTTGATCCCGCTCATTTAGGCGACACTTGAGTTCAGTTAATGTGCCTTACAATTTGGAGTCTGTCGTCTGAGGTTGTGGTTCCGCCGCGCGCTGTTCAAGTGTATTATCCTTTTTTTCAATATCGAAGACTCTATTGTTTAGCTCATTTACATTAGAACTTATTTAGAGCTCATTTATATTAAAAACATCCTAATTTCTATGGAGAAGGAGGCTGGGTACTACCACCTGCTTGCTGTAATTAATAAAATTAAAACTAAACCCAAACATACCACTGCAAGTTGATTATGCGTAGATCGGACCATAATTAGTAATGTTGCGAGCTTAGGGTTCGTGACAATAAAAACTGCCGATTGAATTACCAAAATTGACCCTTTATTTCGCTCCGAAGTCTTCGCTTAGATCGCCAATTCAATACTCACTCGGTCTCGGTTTTTACTTGCCTTATATAGAGGCCTTTTCCACTAAAACATCTAGAATGTTCGAGTAGAATGTCGAAAGTTCTAGCATGGACATTTCTAGATAGTTCTCCCAGTGCTGCTACTCGATACTAGATGGCGCTAGTGGGAAGTTCTAGCATGGAATCTTCTAGAAAGCTCTCCTAGTTGTGCTACTCGATATGAGATGGTGCTAGTGGCATTAATTATGGCGCGCAACAGTAATAATTAAAGACGGTACTCCGGGTTGACACTGACATTGGGACGTCAATTACCTCAGTCCCCCGTAACCATGGGTGCTGGAAAGCACCCGAGACATCGGGAAATAAATTAAACGCGATAAAATCCGTAAAAGTAGATTTATTCAATACTTATTGATTAATGTTAAATAGTTGTTTTTGACCTTGCTGCATACAGCTCAGGGCCTTTCAATTTTTTTATTCTTTCATCAGCTCGTAGAATTACATTACGGCATTTTACGAGCACTTGGCAGGGAGAATAGTGATTTCAATATCAAACGTCGTACAATTTTGACGCATGTTACACTCCTTGTCGTCGGCCTGTGTATTTTTATATAGGTGTTTCAAAAAATATCGGCATGTTTTAAGGCGACACCGTGAAAAAATGCACCTCCTTTCATCGAATAGTATAGGACTATGACACCACTAACGAAAGTGGGATTTTGATATAGGTAAATTCATGTCTTTATCTTGAATTTGATTGCTCAAAAACACGATTGTATAATTTTGACTCGATCATAATTATTTGCGAAAACACCTCTAAAAAATCACTATGGTTGAAATTACAACGAAATCATTTGATCTATATGCTTGGAAATCACTCAAATATATTCATGACATCAATATTCATAATTTAATTGCTCATTATTTTGATAACTTAAATCAATAATTTTTTTAAAAATATTTTAAGATTCTGACAATTTCAAAGCGCTTTTAATCATCGCGGGCCCTACGCAATTTTAGACCTTATGACGGCGTTTCTTCAAGTTTTTATAGAAATTATGTATTCACTCGGATCAGTATGGCGATAGCGTTTTCGATGTGTCGTCTTAATCGCTTCTTGCGACACCCATAGAATCAAAAAGTATGATGAATTCTATACCGCCGCCATATTTAACAAGACTACAATCCTATGTATGACTATTATTTTTAATAATTTTGCAATACGAAAAAAAGAAGTTTCAAATGAGTTGTTTGCAAATAAGTATCCTAGATTTATTTATTTTTAGTTCGCAGCAGACCAGAAATTAAGTTATTTCAATGAACTGATTCCTATTGAATATTTGGATTAACGATAACTATCTTATATTAATTTTTAGGTAGTAATCCATTATTTTCTAAAGCAAAAGAGGAAAAACCATCTCACACACAGTCTGTTATTGAGGATCCATTGTCAATGGTTACGGACGATAATTTCAACAATGACGTATAACTTGGAAATTTGAACTTGTTAAAATTGTATCATAAAATACTACTTAAGTGAGCTCCCTAACTTTGGATCTCCTAACAAGGTATATATTGAATGTATTAGAAGCCTGTATAATTTTGTTAATGTTTAACTATTTTTAAGATCTAGTGTAATTCAATTTGTATGAACAAAAATAATTAAATTGTAATGATTCTCAAGTGCAATTGATGAAATTAATCATTCCATTATATTAATTGAAATTGTATATTTTATATCAAATATATTTTATTATAAATAGTTTGCCAACGCGCATAAATTTTAAATGTGGGCGTAAAAATATAAAGCAGGTAAAATTAATTTAAGATTAAAGATTTTACAAGATAAGAGTATTTATTTCGTGTTATGATTTTTTTTTCGCAATACTAGGTTTTGGGGATGTAAATATGTTAATAATCTTTACTTTTCGCTTTCTTTTTTTAGTAAGCGAAATCTAATACATATTAAACATTTATACATTTTTCACTTTCGATCATGCAGTCACTTGACGATAAATTGGCATATAATTAATGTAACAAAGCGAAAAAATGTCTAATCAAAACAGTTCCTAGAGTATAAACAATGCTTAATCATTATGTCTACTTAATGTTTATTTGTTGTAATTAAAAGAGTACAATAGAAGACAATAAGAATCTTGAGGTTAAGCTACTCAAGTTAAGTGTAAAAAAATATTTAATGTGCATTTTAATAATAATTTTCTTAAGGAGTCTATTAAATAATTTTGTACAATATTTGTGGTACATACTGTGATATAAATTAAATTAAACACTTTCAATATCAACTGTATAATTTGCATGTGTTGAGCCACTCACGAAAGTTTTGTATCAAGACAAAATTATTATTAACGATGTTTCGTTCAAGTAATAAATGTATAACTTTTTACCTTTCAATATTGTTTTTGTTACAACAACTTTGTTATCTTAAAGATTGTAGGCAACTGCAAAAAAGGTACTGCGTTCTTGGAATAGTTTTTTCTCCTAAGCAGTTTGCTCAATAATATAATGATCTTTTGTTATTTCAAATTTACTCTGTGTTTATCAAAATATAGGTATAGTAAATTCATGTTAATAATTTGTTATTGTTATTTTTAATAAAGTCATACGTAAATATTTAAATTCATTTAGTTTACGATTAAGTAACGGAGGAGTACTTTATTGGAAACTTGTGTTAATCTTGTTCCATAACTTTTTTAAGACAACTGTACACAAAGTCAATAACTGCGATATTGTATGGTTTATTGTACGTAGGTAATTTATTAACTACATTATAGTGCTTATAATTGTATTCAAAGCTTATTGTAATATGTGATTATTTTACTTATAATGTTGAATCGAAAATAAATTTGAATGCTACATAAATTTTTATCACCATTTTATAAATGTCTTAATATTGTTACGAGCTTGAGGTTCGTGACAATAAAATTGCCGATAGGATTACCTAAATTAACACTTTAATTTTCTTTACACAAATTAAGACTTAAAACACCAATAATTAAGCACACTAATTCACTTTATTCCGCTCCGAAGCTTCGCTTGTCTCGCCGAATTCAATACTTCCCCGATGCCGAATTCAATGCAGCGCCTATAAATATAAATTAGCACCGAAATATCCAGAATATTCAAGTAAACACGCGCAAGGTACCGAGAGTTCGAGTTTCAACTTTTAGAAGTTTAGTTCTTCGGCACTATCGGACTGCCGATAGTGCCGAACGAGAGAAAAGAGAAACTGCTCGAACAATTCAACCCAACCGCTCAGTAGTCCGACGTTCAGCTGCACTTCAGCTGTGTAAAATGCCGGATTATAGAGCGGGCTACCTGAGTCCCAAACACAGACTAGATAGAGAAACTGACGTTTGTCTCAAAGTGCCGGACTACTGAGCGTGCCGGATTGGCGAGCGCCGGATTATCGAGCGCCTACTTTAATTTGCATTTGATTAATAAATACATTCAAATACATATAAGGTGAAGTGGTATTGTAGTTGTGTAGGTTTTGAGGATGTGAAGCAGATATGGACAAGCCGGAAAGCGATCGTCGAAGCGATACTTAGGTATCTACCTTCACTACATGGTAATATTACCGTTCGGTATGTTAATTTTTACCAATAGCGTATAAAGACCAAGGTTCACATAGTTGGGTCCCATTTTTCTAATCCCAATTTCAAATGTTGGTTTACCACTTGCACAGCGGAAAATGTGACCATCAAAAAACTATACCTATCTGCGGGGACGAAATATTTGAAATAATGTTAAGATCGAGGGTCAAGTCCTCAATTTCGAGCTGAGGCGAGCAAAACTATATACAGGCCCATCTTTGTTCGTGGGCATACTGTGCAACTGCTAAGGGGCCCGTGATCCATGGGGCCCCCTAGTTCCCGCTAATCACCAACCGATAAAAAATTATAAATATATTTATTTTGCGAAAATTATAGGACTAGAGTTCTCTGATATATTTAAACATAGAAGCAGATAAGTAATCTGCTCTTTTTTTTGGTTCTAACTCTTAAATTATTTTCTTGTAAATTATTTTTAGCGTCAGGGTCATTTTTCGCCGAACACCTTGGCAATCTTAATCAGGTGGAGAATATGGCGTTACAGATTTCACCAGATAGTCAACAGAGTCAGTTTCATTTTACAACAAAACTGGTAGTGTTATAAAAAACTAATTAAATTAGTCTGTCAGGGTTAGAAGAAAGAAAGGTGTGCGGGCGGCGCGGGAGACGTAACTTAGAGATGTGTCACACCCATATATCGTATGCGTAAATATGTGAGACTATGAAAACGTACGTAATTATAAACAAATTAATGATGCGTAAAATACATGTAAAGTTCTTTAAAATATGTACATGCATTTTACATGTCATTAAGGACGCTAATCGCTTACCATAAATCCATATCCCTTTTGTATCACCATCAGCTGGGAATCTAAGCAAAATTAATTCTGATAAGTAATTAGTTAATTACCTAACTAAACCTTGAAATAGCATACCTAAAGTTAGCGGCTAATTGCTATATTTTGGGCATGCATTAGATTTACTCCCAGATGATGAGAAGCAGATTTTCCGTTATTTTTAAAAGAATATTATGGGCGCTGAAATTTCTATAATACCAAAAGTTTTCGTCAAAGTGCTATAGTTTCGGCAGGCAGTAGGGTGGCTCCCTGATGAGAAGCAGTTTTTGCAGAAAATTAAGGTGCATTTAGCTACCCAACTTCTCAGCGCATCAGTAGCAGACGCTCTGGAATTTTGTAAATTACTCGGAATTCCTGAATTTCCTGATTATATGGGTACAATACAATTTGTTAGAATATTTAATAACCTCTTTGATATAATGAATAGCCAAAATATGCGTGCAAAAGGATGGAAACGTGTGTTAGCAATATTTAACTTTGACGAAACAAAAATATTTTTTGATTTTGCAAAAGAATAGTTATATAAAAAATTTAAAATTTACAGAGGGTTCGTTCGTTATCAGTTCCAATGGATCGACAGGATTTCGAGGATTTGTAATCTGCATGGACTCTTTAGTTGGTTTGTACCAAAAATATGTCCTCCCAGAAAACAGTGTTTTAAAATATCTATCCTACCTATAAGTTCAGCCAAGACCATATTGAACTGTTTTTCGGAGCCATAAGATCTAAAGGTGGTTTTAAAAACAACCCATCGGCAAAAATGTACAGGGCTGCTTATAAACGGTTGCTGGGACATGCAGAGCTAAAAGATGATTCTACAGGGAATTGTCTTCCTCTAGAAAATATAAAAATGTTACTTACTTACTTATCTTCACGCACAATCCCTAACGGGGTAGCCAAAGAGAACAGATCGCCAAGTGTCACGTTCCTTACATACCTCTTTCGCTTCTTTCAGGTTCATTAACTTCTTCATACATGCACGTCTAGGTATCCGAGTACTCTTGACCTTCCCCTCTTCGAGCAATTTGCTCACATGGTCTTCGAAAGTTAGTCTCGGTCTACCTCGACACCTTTTAATATTTACTTTCGCTCTATATGTTTTCTTCACCATTCGGTCTTCACTCATTCGCTCAACGTGCCCAAACCATTGGAGCACGCCCCTATCAATTTTTGTAATGTCATCTTTCAATCCTACCATATTGCGAATCTCTTCGTTTCGCTTTCGATCGGTTATGGTAACGCCAGACATTTTACGAAGAGATCGCATCTCCACTGCATTCAACTTGCTTTTATGCTTCTTTTGGCATACTCAGGTTTCGCTGCCATATAACAAAGTCGGTACCAACACTGCGTTATGTATTGCAAGGCGTGCACTCTTCACCACGCCTTGTCTTTTGACTAATGCATTCAGGGCACCATTGACTTTGTTTCCGGCAGCGAAACGCCTATCCACATCTAAATCACATCTTCCATCCCGGCTGAAAGCACTCCCCAAGTATACAATTTCATTTACCTGTTCTAGACATTCCTGATTTACCCATATTTCACATTTCGTTCTCTCTTCGTCCTTTTCAAATACCAGAACCTTAGTTTTATTAGCATTCAAACGGAGACCTTTAATTTCACATTCCTTTTTCACACACGTGACTAATGCCTGCAGTTCTGATGGTGCAATAAGCACTGCGTCATCAGCATACAGCAGACAATTTACTTTAATGTCACCCAATTTCACACCCAAACAGCTATTTTTCAGCGTCTGTAAACAGCTGTCGAGATACAGTATGAACAGCCAGGAAGACATGACACAACCCTGTTTTACGCCCGCTTGGACCTTAAACATGGGTGACAGGTCATGCCCTACCCGCACACAGGCTTTACAGTCGTAGTAAAGTGACTGCACAGCCCTTAACAATCGACCATCCACACCATATCCCGGCAACAGTTCCCACATTTTCTTCCTTATAACCTTATCAAATGCTTTCTCTAGATCCACAAAAGCACAGAAAATCCTCTGGTTAACACTCAGAAGCTTCTCCGTGATGCGGAGAGAAAACATTTGA